CCATAACACTGGATAAAGCAATAGATATAGCTCGTACAGAAGAAGCAACTAAGAAGCAAGTTCAGGGGATGAACTTAGCAGTAACAGATGCAGCACAACTCCGCGTTATAAACAAACAAAAACCAGACGCGCCTAAAAGCTCAAGACAAACAACTGAAAGAAATATCACAAGGAAAACAGATTCTGCCAAGAAAAAATGCTGGAACTGTGGGTTGACCCATGATATCTCAAAAAGGGAAAACTGTCCTGCTTAATACATATTGTCACTCTTGCAATCGCCTTCATCACTGGTCTAGTCAATGCCGCTCCAAAAACAGTGCATCCTCACAACCCAAAGCAAGTTTCAAGCAGGACATCAATACAATTACAGAAAGAACAAAGTGACAATACACAACTTTACTTTAGCCCTTTGATTGTAAATAACATTAACCAGGCATCCTCAGCTGAGGCAATTACAACTGTTAACATCAATGACAAGCCTGTAGTCTGTAAGATAGACAGTGGGGCTGAAGGCAATGTCATGCCACTATCAATATATGTCACATTGTTCCAAGAGGTTGAAATAACAGACAGTTCTACGTCCATTATGGCATATGGAGGAAACAGTATAAAAAACTATGGTAAATGCATATGTGTTGCATATGATGACACACATATACAGACTGTATTCCACATTGTAGAGTCACAAGGACCTGCCATACTCGGTCTACAGTCATGTCAAGATTTAAAGCTTATTACTCTCCACTGTAGTCTAAATTACAAAGTTAGTTCTACAGATGAACCAAAGCTGATGACAAAACCAAAGGGASATCCAAAAGCAACCAAGGAACTCTTTGATAATTACAGCAGTTGCTTCGATGGAATAGGATGTTTTGAGGGTGAATACCACATAGTGCTTGACGAGACTATACCTCCTGCTGTACATCCGCCCCGTCGTGTCGCAGAAGCTCTGACGGAACCATTTCAAGACGAACTTGACTCATTATGTGCCCAAGGAATCCTGAAAAAAGTTGAACAACCCACTGACTGGGTAAACTCATTTGTGATACAGAGAAAGAAGGATGGTTCTATTAGACTATGTCTTGACCCTAAGGACCTAAACAAAGCTATTAAGCGACCACACCATTATACACCTACACTTGAAGATATTTTAGCCAAGCTCAATGGAGCACAATACTTCTCTATTGTTGACGCCCGTAGTGGTTACTGGAATATCAAACTAGATGAAGAAAGCTCCTATCTCACAACTTTTAATGCGCCCTTCGGAAGATACCGGTTCTGTCGACTTCCCTTAGACCTTGTGTGTGCACAAGATGTATTCAGAAAAAAGTTGATGAAACCTTTGGTGATCTAACTGGAGTTACTGGCATAGCAGATGATATCGTGATCGCAGGATTCAAAGAAGATGGTAGTGATCATGACRCCAACCTACAAGCAGTCATGGAGAAGGCACAGAGTACAGGGATCAAGTTCAACCCTGACAAATGTGTTATAAAAAGCACCAGCATACCATTCTACGGCCACATTCTGAGTGCAGATGGCCTACAAGTTGACCCATCGAAAGTTGAAGCTATAAACGCAATGGATCCATCCTCTTCAATTCAGGCATTACAGACATTTCTAGCAGCTACACAATACCTCAGCAGATTCATACCCCCACTTGGCCTCGTTGGAAGCTCCCTTGTGGGATCTGGTAAAGAAAACAAGTGCATTTGTCTGGAGTCCTGAACACCAAACAGCTGTTGAAAAAGTCAAGCAAGCTGTGACAGCAAGTTCCTCACTCAAGTATTTTGATGGTAAGAAACCTGTAGTTGTTCAAGTTGATGCCTCACAACGAGGCCTCGGCGCTGYACTCCTACAGGAAAATCAACCTGTTGCATATGCCAGTAAATTATTAACTGAAACTGAAAGGCAATATTCAAACATTGAACGTGAAATGCTGGGCATAGTGTTTGGCCTTGAGAAATTCCACTATTACTGCTATGGCAGACCTGTGACAGTCCAAACTGACCATAAGCCACTAGAGGCTATTTGCAAGTGCACCGCCACGCATTTCACGTATGTTACTACGGATTCAGAAATACAATGCTGAAGTGATATACGTTCCTGGAAAAGAAATTCCTCTCGCCGATGCTTTGTCACGTATTAATCCTTGTCCCGGTGACACAATTCCAGGACGTGATGTATCTGTACACGAATTACACTCTCACTTGAATGCTTCACCCACTAGACTTAAACAGATCAAGCAAGAGACAGCAGCAGACACTGACCTTGCAACACTGAAACGAATCATATTTGATGGATGGCCTGCAAAAAGGTCAGAATGCCCACCTAATTTACATGTTTACTGGAATTACAGAGATGAGTTAACTGTTGCAGATGGTATTATTCTAAAGGGACTTAGGATTGTAATTCCTGAAACACTGCAGAAAGAAGTACTTAACCAATTACACTGTGGTCATTTAGGCATAGAAAAATGCAAGCTAAGAGCAAAGGGCTCTGTATTTTGKCCTAATATTAACAAGGACATTGAAAGTACTGTCAGTAGTTGTACACCATGCCAACGCCATCAAAGCCAAAACACAAAGGAGCCCATGATTTCACATGATGTACCTCARAAGCCATGGCATACACTCGGTGCTGACTTATTTTACTGGAACAGCTCACATTATCTTCTTGTTTCTGACTATTATAGCAAGTTCCCACTAGTAAGAAAGCTATCGAACTGTGAATCCACTACCACTATAGCACACCTAAAGGGTATGTTCGAAGAGCATGGCATTCCTGATAAGTTAATCACAGGCAACGATACACAGTTCACATCTACTGCCTTCAAGACTTTTAGCAGTACTTATGGATTCAATCACATAACGACATCACCCAACTACCCACAAGCCAATGGGTTCATAGAACGCAATGTTCAGACTGTTAAACACCTGTTCCAAAAATGTAAGGAGTCTGGTGAGGATCCTCACTTAGCCATGCTGTGCCTCAGAACCACAACACTAGATCATACTACTGCCTCGCCAGCTGAGCTTCTAAATTCTCGAGTCTACAAAACAAACTTGCCTACTATTTCAAAAGCAAGCATTGGTCTCTCCGCAGATGGAGAAGTTAACAAAACTCTTCAAGAGAACCAAGACAGAAGTAAAATAGCCTATGATCAAGGAGCAAAGCCATTACAGCCTCTAAGATATAATGAACCAGTTAGAGTTCTGAATCCATCAAATAACATCTGGCAACCTGGAATCATTAAAGACAATACTGAGCACCCCCGGTCTTACAAGGTTGCCTTGGAAAATGGTATGCGTAGGAATCGCCGACATTTGAGACCAACAAATGAGAACTTTGGCCATATTGAAAGTGCACTATCACCTGATGTTGAATGTTCCATTATGAATGATGTCTCAAATGTTGAAACTGATGTCACAAACACTTTACCAGAAAGCATCATAGAACAGATGTCTGATGCTGGATCATGTTTGAGGAAGTCTTCCAGGATTAGAAGGCCACCTAACAGATACGGATTCCCTAATTCATGACATTAATATTGTTAACATTGTTTAGTTCACATTTGTTTATTGTATAGCTTATAACAGGAAGGGAGGAGATGTTATGGTTTTACTTCCTCTTATTTCACTTCCGGTTTGTATCATTTACATACTTTATGTAAATTAGAATAACACATGGTTTTCTAAGATGGCTGCCATGATATAAGTTTTGTACTGAAGTAAATGTACTTGAAACCAAGCTAGTGTAATCCATCCCTATCCGAAAACACAACACATACTGCCTAAAATAATGCAACGATATTCAGAGATATTAGTATAATTTAGTGGGGATGAGATGAGACAGATGTCGCTTAATTCTTGAAATAAGAGAAAAATCACTTGAAATGAAAGGAAGAAATTGCCTTCCGCTCTTGTTTACAACTTCAATTGAAAGCATCAATTCTCCTAAAACTTGCAGCTATTTATTGCTATATAAGAAAATGTTGTTTCTCATTTAAACACAAGATATTCATCATGTATACTTTTTATAATCAAACTAAAAACAACAATCTGAATCCTACCTCGTGAATAAGGTGTATCTTTTCTTCCTGATATATTGAACTGTAAACTGTCAGTTGTCGCTTTTCTTAGATATTCCTCTCCTTTCTTTCTAAAAGAAAATAGATCGTTACTGAACGGCGACAAGTTTATGCAATAAACATTTTTAATAACTATACAGTTCATTACACTATAAAAGCGACGGGTGTTTAAGCTCTATTTTGACGTAATCACGATGAATGATTTCCACAGACCCTCTAAGATGCCATTAAGAAACTCATTTGTGATCAAAGGACGTCAAATTACAGAGATTATAACTGGAAGTCACTCTGACAGCTCAAGGGGATGTTAGGGGCAGTTTTTTAACGTTATATGTGTGACAGGGTCACTTTCGTGACCAATGTCAGTAATTTTAGGATTACATAATTAAGCATTTGTTTTGTAGTTAAAACTGTTTTACTGCAAATYTAAGATATGATTTAGTCAAAAGGGCTTATTTTGTTGCTGTCACGATATCTTGGGATTAGAACCTGAGTCATGCAATACTCATGTGATGTAATTTCCTGTCACATCAACAAGCAGATAATAATCTTGTTTGATAATTGGATTTAGTTTAACATTGTCAAGTTGTCACAAGGGCATGTTTCTTAGGCCTTAAACTAGATTAGTTTGTGGCATGTAATACTATTTTAAACTACTAGGAGTTACTAGCAATTTACTCTATTTGCTTTAGTCATTTTGTTTCATATAGTATTTAGGATTTCTTAGCTACTAATTAGATTTAAGGCAGGGTCTAATTGTAGGATTTATAGGAATGCATGACATATTTCCTGTAGGGCTTGCTATGTTTACATTTCCTGTGCATGTTTTGCAGTTAGTATAAATATAGGGTTAAAATTAGTCTTCCCTTTGAGTTAGTTGGGTGTAGCTCCCCAGTGAGGGCATAGCTCTCAGAGGATGCCCCTCTGGTTATGCTGTATTGTGCTCGTAAGGTATGTTAGCTTTACTACTTTTCTGTGGTTGTATTCAAGAGATTTTGGTTAGTTTGTTATAACTCAGCTATAATTATTCTTATGTTTTACAGAATGTAACTCATTCCCGTTTTGACAGTACCGTTTTACGATACAGTTGTTTAGTATATTGCTTTAGTGCATTTAGTAGTTCTCGCTATGAATCAGATTTAGCTTTCAATTAGTTTTTACACTTACTTTTTCTGATAATGGTCTCTGGGCAACCATTGCCATTACTGTATATTTGTAATTAGTTCTATTGTTAATGTGTTTTTAGGTTTTTGTGTAATAAACATTGTTATAAGACCACTCCTTGCATCCTTAGTCGAATTCACTGCTCGYGCGGTCCCGACCCGCGGCGGTCGCGTTGCCCGCGTCGATTGCCGTCGGTTACATATGGTTTGAATAAACCACTACACGGACTGAAACTAGAAGCTG